TTTTTTTTTAACTAAGAGGATTGAAAACGACTATTTTGAGTACCAAAATAGGCAAGTTAGATTGACTGACCAAAAAGACAATCAGTTTGTCAATACTAAAACAATATGTCCATCTATGTGTCTAACGTTATACAAAATGAAAACATGAACGTTAAATGGACATCAAAAAGAAAAAAAAGTAAACTCTCTATCTATATAACAAATGGTAGAGACGACTTGGACATCTGAAATTGCTCTCTCCTTGTCCTCATCACTTCAAACTCGTCAATAAGAGAATCTAATGGAAAAGTGTCAACAATCTCCTTCTCTATATACATAAGCATGATACTAGACAAAAAATCATCTTCCATTCTATTACACAACATTGTCTTAATGACACTCATAACTGAAAATGCATGTTCTGTAGTTGCTTTTGGGTAATTGATTCCTAAATTGGTACTTTGCTTTTGAATTGGATTTGAGTTATTTATTTATTTAAATAACTATTGGATCTTTTGTTTAGGTTTAAGATTTTTGTGTCATTAAATTTTAAAGTGTAAGTTATTTGATCAATATTTATTAATGGAAAAAAAATTTAAAATTTTATGGAGGCGAAGCTGAAAAATACATTACAAATTAACTAGAAATAGTGGACCAGTGGACTATGTTGGGTAGTGCATTAGCAAGACAAAGCATGTAGACAACATAAGATAGGCAAGTTCTTCGAACCAGCTAAAACTATATTAGTATTTATCGTACCTTAAGGAGATCGAGGCCAATCAAATCCAGCATTAGCATTATCATAGAACCACATTTCAATGTCCTCCTCCAAAGGATGTTCGTCTTCCCAAAGATCATCCAACATCTCGGCATAAAATCATCGTCTGTATCGCCAACCACAAAGTTCCAGGCGAGGTAACCACACGAGCCCGAATAATCCGAGCAATTGTCCAGCCATTCATGTATTGACAATCAACAACGATCTTTAACTCTGAAGCTTTTCACAAACTTCTCGTCTAAATTCACATTCTAACAACCTCGTTCATCAAGTAATTCAAGTTGTTTGGAGTTTTTAAGAATCTCGGTTACACTTTCTGTGCCAACGAGCAAATAGGCAATCTCCAGATGCTTGGGTCTAGGCATTGTTGCAGCAATGGCAAGGGCTTCATCGTCTTTTGAGGGGGTCGACTTTTTCTCTATTATAAAAGTTTCAAAAATCTGTAAGTGAATTCACCATAAAAGGTTGTAATAGCTGGTTACTTTTAGGGTCCATTTGGTTGTAAGAGTGGAATTTGGGTGAAAAGAAAATGAATTATAGGAAATTGGAATGCTTAGAATTTTATTTTATTTTTTTGGAATTGTCAATTCATTGTGTTTGATTGGTATAATTTTTCACCTGAAAATGTTGAAATTTTGGATCTTTTGGTATTCCTTGAATTTGTTTTCCATAAAAATTATCCATTAAAGGAAATTTTTTTTTTTTACAATTATCCATAAAATTTATTTTCATTGCCAAAAAAATAAACCTAGAAAGCCAAATCCCACCAAATTGGTGGGAATTCATTTTCATCAAAAATAAGGAATTGGATGTGTGCGAGTCAAAACCAAAAAAAAATGAATTGCTAAGAAAAAGAGTGTTTCAAATATGACTAAAGTGAAAGATGAAATTTCTTTTCCATTTTTCATGAAAAATTTGGGTGGATCATGTACAATGTAAAATTATAAAGAACATGACAAAATTTTATTTTTTACAGTCATTTTTATTACTATTCATACTAATGCACACAAAAACAACGAAAGTGCAAATATGTAAATACCCTAATTAACCAGAAATGGGTATTTATGCCTAAACAAGAAAATGGAAGACAGATCTCTCATTACTTTCTCAATCACAGTCAAACCCATCTGCCTAAACATGAAAATGGAAGACAGATCTCTCATTACTTTCTCAATCACAGTCAAACCCATCTGCGACAATCATACTGAAAACCATAACTACTACGCCTACCCCTACCCCTACCCCTGCCCCTGCCCCTGCCCCTACACTACACTACTCGACTGTCTTCTTCAAGGACTGTTCTCAAGACCTTTCCCATTCAACACAGCTAGTAAGTAAATAGCGATGTCTCAACAGCGTAAAAGTAATGAATTACCCAATAGATTACTTACACTGATGCCATTTCTTCCATTCTTCGCAAGTTGACTTGTTCTTTTCACACTGTTTTTCTCTATACCTCACTGCCATTCTTCAACAGTTAACCTGAAAATTTCCCTCTCAACAGAATGACTTATTTTTTACTGTTGGCAATTTGGTTCCCTACCTAGTTGCTTTGAACATGGCTATGACTTCTTTTATCTCATTAATTTTCTTCACCATTTTCACACTTACTGCACTTCTCACTCTTCTCTCTCCTTCCTATTGCTTAAATCAAATACGTCCCACAGATACTAATAGGGTAAATAAACCATTTTCACCTTCTTCTTCTCCTCCTCTGCATGGATGTAAAATTAATGATTCTTATGGGTTTCTTTTATATATTTTAGGGTTTGGTGTTGGAAAAAACAAGGCTAGGTTCAACGCCGCCGAGCTGTCACAACAAATGCAACCAGTGTCACCCATGCATGGCGGTGCAAGTGCCTACACTACCGATTCACGACCGAGTCCATCCGGGTCAACTCAAATCGAAGCCGTTAGACAATTTAGACACGTCAACGTCATCGGCGGGGAACAGGTACACCAATTACAAGCCACTTGGATGGAAGTGCAGATGCGGTGCCAACTTTTACAACCCTTAAATTAATGGGTTTTGCTCCCCACTGTGCAGCCCCCAGGCTCACCAATTTTTTATTGGATGTGAGTCTCCTCTTTTGTTCCGTTGTACAATTAGCAAAATTTTAAATTAATTGGTAAATGAATGCCAATTTCGAAAATTTTCATGGGAAAAAATGTATGATTTATTTCGTTGAATTTTTGTCTACAAAAAAGGATTCAAGTAGTTTATGTTCGCTCTCCATTTAACTTTCAATCGCACATTCCATGAGACATATATTCTCTCATTCTTGTCCCATATAAATAAGCACGTTTTCCTTTTTCATTTGATCCAAATTATCGTTTGGTCCTATCATTTCACGTTGTTAACAAGAGAAATAGTAATTTTTTGAATAACGTGTGATTAAAAACAGAAAGAACAATTTTTAAATTTACGTATAATATTATATTGTGTAGTTGATAAAAAGAAATAAAAATGAATTATAATTCAATAAGGAATAATGGGGACGAAACGAGGCTAATAATAATATAGTTATTTTTTTAAATTTTTTTACTATATTTATATTTAATGAGTCTTGTTATCAAAATTAAACTAAAATAAATAAAATTTATATATTTAACTATATTAATTAAGTTTTCTCAATATAGATAAAAATGAAAGCAATCCTATTAATATTGTAACTTTTCTCTCTCACTAGAACAGGGCAAACACAAATTCCATTTTTGTGATGAATCATATCACGAAAACAATATTGATTGGTAACATCGGTTGACATCATTATATTCGTTCATTTTAAAAAATTATTTTCTACATAACATACTACGATTTGTCATTCATTATTGTCAATCAATATTGTACATTTAAATTTATTCTTTTGTGACTTTTATCAGCATTTCAACCATGCATTTTATTAATATTTAACTTTCAATTGGTGATGAGATATGATTGAATCAAAAATTTTCAATTAAAAAAAAAATTTCTATCATTTTTTTGATATTCATCTATATATAAAATATTATATAACTCTTTATATACAAGTCGTACTTTCATTTATTTATTTATTTTTATCAAAACCCAATCAAGGACTTGACTCTTGAGATGTAAAAGTTATCATTTTCTAATTTCCTAAAAAAAATCAATTTTCCTCTCTCACTAGAACAGGGCAGACACGAATCCCACTAATAAGCCCATGTTTGATCTGATTAAATTTTAATTCATCTTTTTCTCACTTATCAATTATACATTCTCTTAAAATAATAATATTATACATAAATTCAATTTTTTTTTTTACTTTTTAATCACTCATTTTCTACGAAGAATTTTTCCCCTTATACAATTCATAATGGACAATTAATCAATGAGGTCCACACTAATCAATGTGGGCTATAAAATAAGGACTGTACAAGCAGCAGCCCCCTTCTACAAAATACTATGTTTTAAAATCAATATTTTTTAAAAGGGAAAAATTCATTTATCCTACTTCATCTTTAACCTATTTCAAAAATAACAAAACAATTTTTACATTTCAAAAATCAGATTTTTTGACCTATATATACACATATTTATAAATATTTATTTATTTATTTAAATATATAAAAAGATATAAATAAATAAATAAATAAATATATATAAAATTAACACCCCCACCTCCACCACCCCCCACCGCGACTTTTCCGGCGACCGCTCTGGTGTCGATTTCAGTGGGCCGTTCCGGCGATTGCTCCGACTCAAGTCACAGTCCAGGTCACAACTCAGGTCACAAGTCACAGTTCAGGTCACAACTCCAGTCATAGGTCACAGTTCAAGTCACAATCAGAATTTTGTTCATAGTCACGACTTATTTTCAAATGATCACAGCACAGGTTAAAAATTTTATAGGTCACAATTTGTTTATCAGTCACAGATTAAAAATTTTGCAGGTCACAGATTATTTTATTGGTCACGGATAAAAAAATTACAGGTCACGAATTAATTTTTAGTCACAAATTATCGAATTTTAAGGTCACGGATAGGCCATTATATGGTCATAGCTAGTTTAATCTATGACCACCGTCAACAGTTGTGCTACCAGTTCAACTCTATCTTTAACAGCATAACCACCACCATTCACCGCCACCACTACACCAACAGCACCCATGCAACCACAAGATCCACCACCATCACCCACCTCCACCGCAGCTAGAAACCACCACGACCACAATCAGATATACCAAAAAAATAGATAAGATCAAAAATTTTGCAGGTCACGGATCAAAAAATTACAGGTCACAGATTAATTTTTAGTCACATGTTTATTTCAAATGGTCACAGAATATTTTTGCACATGACTTAGGTTTTTGTTGATACTCACAGCATAGGTCACAGCACATGGCTCAGGTCACAACATAGGTCACAACATTGGTCACGCAGACTATACAACACCATCTTACCACCACCGTCTTACATGCCCTAACCCTACTCCGTCGATGCTACCACAGCCGGCAACTCACCACAACCACCATCACTAACATAACCTCACCAATCGATGGCAAACCAAAAAACGCGCAGATCCGTCACCACAACACAACCACCACAAAAAAAAAAAGAATCGAAAAATTTCCACGCAATTATCCCAAACCTCCGATCCACCACCACTACACAAAACACCATCCAAACCTATCCCAACTGATAGATCCACCACGCAACCTGACAAACCATGAGCGATAAAAAAAAAACTACAGTCGTCGCCGCCTGGAGATCTCTACTGCACAAAACCAGTGAACGGGAATCGCCGCCGCACGCCGACAATGCCAAGAAATTACCCATCACTTTATCCAATTTCGAGCCAACTGCAAACACCACCCGGATTGCTTCCATCGAGCAGCCAACAACCACAATCCGAATCCTGATTCCAGATCTGAGAAGGAAGGTTATGAAGGGAATGGAAAACTCACGTTTTGTTTTATAGATCTGAATCTGTGATTCACAGTAGCGTCGCGCGACGCCGAGGCAGCGTCCCGACGTCGGCAGTTGCGACGCTGCTGTGGATTAGGACGCAGTCGCGACGCTGCACACAATGTGCTCTTGCAGGGACGAGAAATAGAGAAGTGAGAGGCGCCGTTTGGATCTGTGCAGTCGCCGCCGGTGAGGAGAGGATCGGAGTGAGAGATGGTGAGAGAGAGAGCATTTTGAGAGACGGCGAGAGAAGAAAATTACATTGGGGTGGGGGTAGGGTGTATATAATTTAATTTTTATAATAATATTATTAATATTTAATTAAATATAAAAAACTTGTATCTATATATAAAATATATGATTTTTAAACATTAAAACTTGACATCTGATTTTTGAACTTCGATCTTTAAAAGTAGGGATTCATGTAATTTTCACTTTTATAAATAATGGAGCTAAAAAAAAGCTAAGTCTGACCAAATCTGTAACAATTTCTGTATGTTTAGGAGCTACTCTGTCAGGGCCACATGGGCCCGCCTTGACAGTGCCAAGTGACCAGCTGTGGAAAAGACCGTTTCAAGACACGCTAAATGCTACCAGAAATGTCTCCATCAAGAATCTTAAGGAAGACTAGTCAAAAGCAGACAATAAAGACAAGTGCACAAGCATAAATTAAAAACTTGTTTTTAATGAATTCGAATTGTCTAAATTAAGAATAAGTTCGAGCCACATTATTTTAAAATAATGTATTTTAAAATAGTAATTTGATAGAAAATATGTGATTAAAAAAATAAAGTTATTAATGTGATAGAAAATATTATTTTATTGAAAAATATATGGTTGAAAATGAGTAAAAGAATGAAAATGAAAATTTTAATGTGACTCAAATAGGGGCTTAACGTTTTCTTGGCACTTCTTGTAATCGAACACTATCATATCAAACTATTTATTCAACAATCATGTAATCTTGATTGCTTGGTTTCCAAAACATTTGGAGTGTGTTTGATGCACATTTTTAGGAAAGATTGCATTTTTTTGTGATATGGTGGGGAATATGTGGTTGAAAAAGAAGAAAAGGTTATTAATGTGATAAAAATATTATTTTATTGAAAAATGTGTGGTTGAAAATGAGTAGAAAAATAAAAATGTAGCTCAAACAAGGGCTTGAAAAGTTTTCACTCATATAAGTCAGACGTTAAACTTTTAATTTTATTAAAAAAATTTCACGTAGAATATGAATTACCTCTTCCACGTATTTGATTATCTATCATATAATTTTACCCGACCAACTCGAAATAATGTGTAGTGTGTTGGAAAATTTATTTTGATTAATTGATTTTGATCAATTTTTGACCAATTACTTTAATGGATCCGTTATAATTTGGAGGGGAGAGGACCAATATACTAGTAAGTTGGCCCAAAGTCCACACGCGCGAGTCTCTGATGGTCGGCTCAACATGGGTCATGGGTTTGAGCTTGACTTGGTCCAAGTTGTTATATATTTTTTTTGCTAAAATAATATTTGAATTATATTATTTTATTATTAAATTAAATAATATATTTATTTTCTTCCGAAATTTTCTGTGTGACATGAGGCATCTTCTAGAAGTGGAAGTTTTTTGTCTGAAGAGTTGATGTCTATCAAGACGGGTTAGTCTGTTCAAAACAAAATTTTTTGGTTATTGTATATTTTGGACAAATTAATTTAGATGTACATTCGATGACATTGTTATTGACGTCGTGTGAGTTGTCAAAATCGGTGTCATTGATTATATAAAGTGATATTAAAATTAATGTATTAAAAATTGCCAACGTGTCATCCATGATGTCAAAATTAGTATACATGTAACAAAATTGCTTTTGGACATGACCTTTCAACTTATATAAATTGACCTTCAAAATTTGGATTTGCGTCAAACTTTTGTCTCGACTATTTAAAATTATGTTTTATTCCATTCATTATGTAAGTTGAAATTTTTCCTAATTGTTTAACTATTATAAAAGATTATTTGAAAATAAATAACTACACGGTAAATTCGAAATTTTATATAAATTTACCAACATGGTGTAGTAACGATTTTTTTGTCGTCAAGTATTAA